GGGAGCCGTCCCCCGTCGCCCTCCAGCTGTGGGCAGCCCTCCCGGAAGTGGAAAAGCGGTGAGGGTACCCGGGAGCGGGCCCCAGCCCCACCCTCGTGCACCGAGTGGCGGTGCTCGCAGCCGGCCGGCTACCCGGCGTCGCCTTGAGTTCTAGAAAACTTGATTTGGGAGTGAAAGTGCTTCGTGAACTGCAGCGTTGCGCGTGCCTGAAGGCTTTGAGCGAGGCCCACGGTGAAGGGTGACCCTCGCTCTGCTGAGACCCACTCCGGCGTTTAAATCCGGGCAAGGACAAAGGTCTGCCGGGCCTGGTGGCTCACGCCTATAATCCCGGCACTGAGGAGGCTGAGGCAGGGAGTCACCACAAGTTTGACAAAGGCCCTTGAGGCAGTTTTCCGTAAAGAAAGGAAATCAAGATGGTGAAAGCGGGCGCTGGAGTTTTTCCCAGGTTGGCCCTACACCGTCTGGAGCTCTCTTTTTTCAGACACCCGGGCCTCAGAGATTACCTTGTGGAGCAGAGCCGCTGTAACAAGCAAATCATAAAATGTAGAGTGTGAAGGTCTTATCCCAACAGCCTCGGCCTTTGCTGAAGAAAAGTAGAACATAAGGACGGCTGCAAAGCATCCCCTGCTGCCCAGAATGCGGTGTTAGGACCCCAGCTGGAGTTCTGTAGCAGAAGATGCTGAACCCTGAAAGAGTCCTTGTCTGGTGAACTCGTGCCTCTTGCTTGTTTACAGCATTAAGCTTTACATTGGTCCTGCCTTTTATCAAAATACAAATAATTCTGAAACTAGGAACCAATTTAGCCTATTGTTAGAAAAAGGGAAGCTGGGAAATAATAGTAGACAGTTCCCACTCCCTAATTATTTAAGAAAGCTTAGTTTGCTAAGCTTAGGGCCCAACCTGGCTAGTTGTGCCCATAACTCTGTAACCCTATAGGGTTGTAGGGCAGGGATTTGTTTACTTGTTTCCCAGTGCAAGACCAAGGCCTGAAGAAGTTGAAGTGATCTGGCAAAGCCAATGCTAGGACCCAGTCTCCAGTGCCTTTTCTGTTAGTTTGTTCCATTCCCAGTGTCCTCCCAGGATACCTACTCTCTTTTCTCATGAGGGAACACCTCCAACAACTTGGGATGGGCTTTGCCATCTCTCATCACTCAGCAAGCTCCTGGGGCTGCTCAGGCCCTCTTGCTGACCATACCCTGCCTGAGTGACCCACAGTGAAATGAGAGCTCCTAGTGGAAAGCAGGATGTAGGAACTAATGTTTGTGGGCACCTGCTCAGTGCAAAGGGTTCTGCTGGTTGGGTTCATGTTTTCTAATTTGGGGGTGGGGGGCCTGTGACCTCATAGCCCTTCCCCAGCTTGTCCATTCACAGGAATGGACAGCAGTGGGGACCAGAGACTGCTTGCCCTCATGCTCTCTCTGTCTCTCTGTCTTCATCACTTACAGGACCAAGGATGCTCTGCTGTTGTTTCATGAGCTGGTCACTGAGTTTGGCTTACTACAGCCCCTTCTGAAACTGGTTGCCTGAAGCTCTGATGTGCTACTTGCCAAGGTAGATGCTCTTCCCTTCCTTGGGCAGAGAGGAAGGCAGGCAGTACCATGCTGGGACCATGGAAGGCAGAATGAGGCAGGCAGAGTTCTCCTGGACCATGTACTCCTCCTTGGCCCACCCCTACTCCAGCTTTGCATCCTTATGTCACCTCTGTGTAGCATCCCTGTCATACCCTGCATCTAGGTGACCATCAAGGCCTTCTGAGTCTCTATGTCTCTTAAATAATTTTTTCCTCTCCATCAAGGAATAGGCCCACACCAAGCTAACTGGCCTTCCTGACATTAGTATGGCCCCTCGCCGGCCCCTTCCTGTCTGTCAGCCACAGCCTCCACGTCCCATAGCCAACTTGCGGAGAGGCTGGCCCCACAAACCTCAACTTCATCACATCCACTGAGTCCCAGAGCAGCCTCCTGCAGGTCTCCTGCCCTGTCTAGCAACTTCTCACTCCACTCCTCTGGCAGTTTCTGCCATAGTGTTTAGCAATCACACAGAAATAGGCTGAACACTTCAGTGTGCTGTTCTTTCTCCCCCGTTGGCCTGTAAAAGCAGGGTGGGGTGGGGGCAGTGCTCTAGAAGGCCGAGAAGAATGTAGTGAGAACTACTGAGCTAGGCTCAAAGGGGATCCTACACAGTACGATGGAGCCTAGGATCTTGAGATGCTGAGAACCTCCTCAGGAATTGGACACCCTCTTGTACAACAGTGAGAGCACAGCGTACGTGCACGGATAGCCTGATCACTCTATCTAATAGCACACTGATATTCACAAGGGGATTTGAAGCCCACGCCTGAGGTCTCTCTAGTTGTAAGCAGCAGACCTAGAGCTCTGGCCCGCCATGCTTAGGCTGCTCTAAGGTTGATAGCCTCAATGTCCTGCTGCAAAACGCCCCACCCAGGGAGGAGGGCACAGTGTAGAAGACTGTGTCGCCACCTGCTGAGTAAAATCCATTTCATACATTCAGCTATTATTGTGTGTGACACAAGCCAGCTGTAGTGACATGTGCCTATGATCCCAGGTACTCTAGAGGCTGAGATAGGAGGATCACAAGTTCAAGGCCAGTCTGGCAACTTACACCCTGTTTTTAAATGCAATACAATATAAAAGGGGAAGGGAATGTAGCTCAGTGGAAGAGCACTTTTCTGATATATGTAAAACCTTGCCCAAGGGAGCCATGGTCACTCCAGCAGTCAGCTAGTGCCTGATCTGGAGTGGAGGCAGCTAGTGCATCTTGGCCTCAGGGCAGTCCAGATACATTTTTCCTTCTAAATAGAAAACAAGGACCCGGCATTTAGCTCAGTGGTGCTGCTGCCTGCCTCACAAGCTCAAGGTCCTGAGTTCGATCCCTGGTACCAAAAAAAAGAAAACAAATCCAAAGAGGGGCACTCTTTCCAAAAAATAGAAGTGTGAGTGGTGGGGAAGGAGGTACACGAGGGCTAAAGATATTGGTGGTTGAAAAGCTAAAGTTTAACAGGCTTAATTAAGAAGGAATCAGGGACAAGGTCCTCAGCCCATTTCGGCCAAGAGCAGGAAGCTTTTGAATGAAATGTCTGTATGTTGTGTGTGCTGTGCTGAAATAAACTCCTCCTAAGCCTTGGGGCCCATTTTGGGGGCTGCTTTCTGTTCAGAGGGAAGAACGCATCTGGGCTGCCTAGAGGTACATAGCTGTTTCCACCCCAGACCAGTCACCAGCTGTCTGCAGTGAGTGAGCCTGGCTGCCTTGCGCAGTCCACCGTGTCCAGACCAAAGTCTGAGTCCTGTCCATACACTTGTTTCTGAGAGGCCTGAAGACCTCCTGGCTAACACAGAGGAAGGAGCCTCAGACTTAGCATCAGGCAGCAGGCCTGTGCCCGTGCCCTGCTGTAACGTGAGTAACTGAAGAGCCTTACTTTCCTGAGGGTCTAGGAAGGCCCTCCTGGTGGTATCTGGTGTGTAGAAAGGGTTCAGTGAATGTCTGCTGGAATTAGGCTCCTCTTCGTTATTCAGGCGAGCTCACAGAGGTGGGAGCCTGGGTGACCTTGACCTTTCTTTTCTCTGACAGATGAAATGCGTCTCGGTGGCCACTGAGGGTGCGGAAATCCTCTTCTACTGGACCGATGAGGAGTTTGAAGAGAGTCTCCGGCTGAAGTTTGGTCACTCAGAGAATGAGGCAGAAGAGGTGAGGGGATGGGTGCAAGGGAACAGAACAAAACTACCAGAATGCAAGGAGGTAGGAGGAGCTGTGTTCACCTCTCCCGGCCCCACCTGAGGAATACGCAGGACCTGTGAGTAAGCCTCATGATGTTATGTTGGTGATCCTTCTCCTCCACCCCATCAGGGTTCACTGGCCCAGTGAGGGCAAAAGAAGGATGAATTTTAATCTCACAGCTGAGAAGCTTGATGTCATCAGTTTCACTTAAAAACAGTGTACAGTTAGTGCATCAATTTCTAGTAGCCATATTTAAGTATAATTGATACACCATTATCTGTATGTATTTGATATGCTTCATATGTGTGTGTGTGTGTGTGTGTGTGTGTGTGTGTGTGATTCCAATGAACTTATCTATCACTCCAAAGTTCTGATTTCTCCTTTACCACCCCCACCCTCTAGCAACAACCGATCTACTTTCTGTCATGATTGGTCTGTATTTCTAGATGTGTAAAAAAAATCATACAGTATGCATGTAGGTTTCACTTTGTATTGTTTTGGTTTTTAGTCTGGCCTCTTTTGCTCAGTATAATACTTCAGTTCATCAGTATTGTAGCATGTATCAATCATTTGTTTCTTTTCATTGCTGAGTTATAGTTTATTGTCTCAATATGACACTGTTTGTTTATTCATTTACCTGCTTATTGACATTTGAATTATTTAGTTTTTTACTTTTACAAATAAAGCATCTATGAACATTCATGTACAAATCTCTGTATGGGTATATGCTTTCAGCATGGGTAAATATCCAAGATAGAATGAGTGGATCATGAAGGTACATGTTACTTTTTTTTTTTTTTTTTTTTTTTTTTTTTTTTTTTTTTTTGCTACCGGGGATCAAACTCAGGACCTTGTACTTGCAAGGCAGGCGGCAGCACCACTGAGCTAAATACCCAGCCTGCATGTTTAACTTTGAAAGGAACTACCAAACTTCTCTAAAGTGCTTGTATCTTTTACATTCCATCAGTAGTATGTAATTTCCAGTTCCTCTCACTAATACTTGGTATGGTCAGTCTTTTTAATTTTTGACATTCTAATAGATGTTTTCTAGATCTTGCTGTGTTTTTTCATTCGGTGACCACTGATTTTTGAGCATCTCTACATATATGTTAACTACAGGTTTTTGTACGCTTGCAGTTCGTCATGGTTACATTCATCATAGGGTGTTGGTACATGTTTAGAGCGTATCTTAATCCTTTTTATTCCCCTTCTCTTGCCTTTCCTCTACCCGCCCTCCATCTCTGGATCCCCTTCCCTTTTGCAGAAGGTCTATCTTCCCTATTGTCTATCTTTTATTTTGCTCTTTAAATTATTTCTAATTTCCATGTCTCATATAAGATAACCTATGTGTTATCTCAGCTTGTTTGTGTGATTTATTTCACTTAACATTGTGGTCTCAAGATACATCCATTTCCCTACAAATGACTCAAATATGACCTTCTTTATGCCAGAGTAGCACTACATTGTATATAAATTATGTTTTCTTTATTCTTCTGTTGGTGGACATATAGATTTAACTATGATGAGTTATGCTTCAATAAAGATGAGTGTGCATGTATCACTATAGTTTGTTTTTAACTCTTTCAGGAAGATATCTAGAAGGAGGCTAGCTGGGTCAAATAGAATTTCTAATTTTAGTTTTTGAGAAATCTTAATACTTATTTCCAACAATATAGAAGTGTTCCTTCTTTGCCACGGCCTGGCCAGCATTTGTTTGATTTCTTGATAGCCATTCTTTGTGGAGTAAGATGGAATCTCAGTGTTGTTTTAATTTACATTTTTCTGATAGATATGTTGAACATTTCTTCATGTATTGGCTATTTGTACTTCTGAAAAGTGTCTAATTCGTTTTAGTTCCCCCTTTTTGATTGGATCTTTTAGTTTGGGGACTATGATTTTTTTTTTTTTTTAGTTCTTTTATATTCAAGATATTAGTTCTCTGTCAGAGGAGTAGCTTTCTTGCCATATCTTCTACCCATTTTTTAATCATGTTGATTGCTTCTTCTGAGTTTTGAGAGTTTCTTATATATTCTCAAAGTCGTCTTTTATTAAATAATGCAAGTCTTTTATTAAATATATCTCTTGCAAGTCTTTTATTAAATATATCTTTAATATATGTAAGTCTTTTATTAAATATGTCTTTTGCAAATATTTTGTTCCAGGCTTTTCCACCTTGATATCTTGCAAAGAATGGCAGCTTTTTATTTTGATAGCTCCAATTTAACATTTTTGCTTTTATGGATCATGCTTTTGGCATCATATCTAAGAAACCTTTGCCTAACTCTAGGTCACAAAGAACCTTCTTCATATTTTCTCTGGAAGTTGTATAATTTGGGGGTTTTATTTGAGGCCTAATAATGCGTTTTGAACTTTTGAATATGGTGTGAAGTATGGATTGAAGGGTTTTGTTTTATTTTGTAAATGGACACCAGTTTACTACTCAAGAAGAAAATTGTCATTTCCCTCATATAATCTCCAGTCTTCATTTTAAAGCAGTAATTTATTTTGAAACTTTTTTTTTAGATTAATTTTGGGTTAAAAAATATTAGGGATTCAGTAGGGGGAGTTCTTGTATTTCCACAGCAACATGAAGGAACGAGCTGCCTCTCAGTGCCTTGCCTACTGTAATGGGCCTAATCACAGCTGAGCCCATTACATTTCAGCAGGTTATTCCACCGTTAATATCACTGATATTCTGATATCAGAGATCATGGACGTTAAAGTGATTTTATTTAAGCTAAAAATCAGATCTATCTCAGGCTCTTTTATTTTGTAGAAGTCAGTACATCTAAATTTTAAATAGTCCATGCGGTTCGGTGGCCTGCCTTGCAAGCACAAGGACCCGAGTTCAATCCCCGGTACCAAAAATAAATAAAATAAATTTTAGATAGTCCATTCCAGAACTGTTATTTCAACTAGATCAGTTTAAGAAAGAATGTTCCTCTTCCTCTTTGTTAAAAACCTGATACAAAAGCAAATCTTGATTTGTCAGCTCCTGAATGACTATTGTAAAGGAAAGAAGTGCTTAAAATTGTTATTTTTTTATGTATGCCACACATTATTTTTGTAGTCACATAAATAAGAGAATTTAATTGTATGAAATTTGGAAATGCAGTAAAATAATTTTTAAATGACCCATAACTCCACTACTCACAGTTTTTTGTTGTTTAATATACATGCTTTGGGCCTTTATCTTTTATATATTGGAGATCATACCACATTTAGTTTTATTTCCTGGGTTTATTTTATTTGCCATTCTCAAAAGCATAATTCATACTATCAGAATCATTATATTAGTATATGAATAAATGTATCATCATTTAACCATTTTCCCAATACTGGACATATATATCGTTTTGATTAGCTATCACCATTACTATAGGGAACATGTGCTTGAATTTTATCCTGTTATGATTATTCCTAAAAATAACATGAATCAAAAGCCATTTAAAGATGTAGCATTGTAGAATTCCACCAATTAATATGTGAGAATGCCCCTTTACAAATTTATCCCCCTCTGCCAGAAAATTCTTGCTGTACCTGTACAGAAAGCCACTACTTTTAAAATGAATTGCTGTGCACAGTCTGGATTTTTGAAAGTAACTTTTCTATTAATTTGTGACAGTTCAAAAAAATTGCACAGTGTGAATAATTTGCCAAGCATTTGTTCTTGCCTGTGTGGGGTGACAGTCCCTCAACAGATATACCCTGAGAATATGTCAGATATATCAGCCTCTGGGGATAAAGCAGTGAACATAGCAGTGTGATCCCCGCTCTTACAGAACGTGAGGTCTAAAGAGGGACATGCAGTGAAGCAGACGGCAAGTAAACCCCATGCGTTCAGGTGATGGTATGCGGATGGAAGACAGGACAGGGTTTGGGGAGTCGCTGAGGTGAGGTGGCCCAGGGGTTCAGGAAGGGAGCTGTGTAGGCTGAGACTGAATGATGGGGAGGATGTGAAAGGTTGACTGACAGTCTGAAGGGCTCAGACGCAAACCTGGGTTCCTGAATGTTGGCAAGAGAACATGCACCAGCGTACGGTCCCGCTTGTGTTGTCGATGCTGTGCCTACTGCGAGCCAGCTGCCTGGTGTTCCAGGCAAAAGGCTCCCTCCTTCGAGGGCCAAGTGAGGACGCCTTTTGTTGTTGTTGTTTTGTTCCTTCCTTTGGAGGGCAATGAAAATGGATGAAGGAGAGTTTATCAAATTGAATGCATCCTTTTTGTGGAAAATAGGAAAAACTCAGAAACTTTTTTTTAAAAATCATTTATGTTCCCTGTGTTGGCTTTCTTAATGCCTTTTCAGTACCTTGTTTTATGTATGCATTGTTAATACAGAACATCCTTTTAAAAATTGTGTCAAATATCCATGTCACTTAAACACTAATATCTTAAATAGCTGTGTAGAATCTCTCATCATTTAGATGTAATTTACTTATCTTTCTTTGATGCTGTACATTTTTCCAGTTGTTTGCAACTTTGAATCATATTGTAATAAACATATTTGTTTCTATCTTTAATCATTTGCATGAGGATAAAGTCCCCAAAGTGGTTTATTCCAAAAGATGACACATGCTTTGGTACATACAACAGTCTTCCTTAGAGCTAGTGAGTTATCCATTAAGTGCCCCAAACATTCCACTGTGGAATGCGGCAAATACTTAATATTTCCTTCCAGATTCAGAGCCTAAATAGTAGTTCACAGGCTAACTCCTGCCTTCCGAGTTACCACTCAAAGTGTAAGTGCAGCCTCTTTTTGTCCCCTCCCTATGAGAAGAATGATCCCCTTCCAGGCAGGTCTGCCACTGTGGAGCTCCTTGATGTTAAGTTTGGTTCATTCCTTTGTCACAGCATCTGACACCTAGGCTCTATCCCTTTCTTACCCTCTTGCAGCTGCCTGCGCTGGAGGACCAGCTCAGCACTCTCCTGGCCCCAGTCATCATATCCTCCATGACGATGCTGGAGAAGCTCTCGGATACGTACACCTGCTTCTCCACAGAAAATAGCAACTACCTGTATGTCCTTCACTTGGTGAGGATGTAGCCCTGTGGCCCACGTTCCTCTTCCTCCTGTTCCATGGGAGTCCACATGCCTCTCCCCTATCCTGCACTGCAGACTCCCCCGGAAGGCAGGAGCTGCATAATATCAAAACCTGATACCCAGTCTTACACTTAATTTACCAGTGAGATCAGGGCAGGTAGAGGTTGTGCCGTAGTGGCTGGCTGATGTTTTTATCTGTGCCTACAGTTTGGAGAATGCCTGTTCATTGCTATCAACGGAGACCACACTGAAAGCGAGGGAGACCTGCGGCGTAAGCTGTGCGTGCTCAAGTACCTGTTTGAGGTGCACTTCGGACTAGTAACTATGGACGGCCAGCTCATCCGAAAGGAGTGAGTCCTCAAGGAGGGTCCCCCTGTGTCCTCTGCTGAGCTCCCTTGTGTGGGGTCAGTCAGCCTTTGCCCAGCCTCAGTGAAATCACAGTTCCATACTCTGCCCCAATTATGTCTCTGGGTCAAGAAGCAGCGCTCAAAGGAGCTGTGAAAACCATCTTTTCTGAGCCTCTCATCTTATGTGGAAGCTGAAGGTAGAAAAGCTAAATAACTTGGCCTAGGGGTATCCCGTTGGTTGGTGACAACATCCAGCCTAGAAGTCTGAGCTCAGCATCCCTGTTATGTAGTCTGTCCACTGTCAACCTGAGGTGAGGAAGGAAATATGGATGTGGAAGAGTGAGGATCACGGTGGGGCTCTCCCCTGCTTCTCAGCACGGTAAGGAAGTCTCAGTTTGAAACCCTGCATCTTCTGAGTTTTCAAGTGACATGAGCACCCACATTGAGGCACTTACTATGTCTGCAGGTATCAGGTCGTGAGTTGTTTAGCTGTCACGGTGCTGATGGCCCGTGCTGTGGGCAGTGAATGCCCACATTTACCCATGCAGGTCTGACAGTGTTTGAGAGGGCTGCGCCTCTGTGTTTGGCCCAGATAATACGGCAGAGTTGTCTGTTTTTAGGGTTCTGTGGAGTACATGAGAGGCATAGAAAATGCAGTTACCTTCCTGGCTCCTTGTAGCTGGCTTCGATATGTCTGTGTGAAAGAGGCTGAGGAGTGATGAAATCATTTGCTCGGTGGCCTGACTCTTGGTTCCTGCAATGCTGCTTTGCCACGGCACACGTGAAACACAGCCCCTCTCTGCCCTGGGCTCTCCCATAGATGCAGTCACATGTCCTAAGCTCTCTGGCTCTGATGCTGGCCTGGGATAGGATCCTTGAGTTGGTTAGAAGTGACCACCTTTCTCATGGTGTCTCTGTGTTTCTGCCTCAGGCTAAGGCCCCCAGACCTGGGCCAGAGAGCCCAGATGTGGGCTCATTTCCAGAGCCTGTTGTGGACCTACAGCCGCCTGCGGGAAGAAGAGCAAAGCTTCGCTGTAGAGGTGACTGTGGGGCACTAAGGCCTCAGGCCTGGGAGGTATTGGGTTAGAAGGGGCAGCAGTCAGTTTGAAGACCATGTTTTCACCTTCATGATTAGGGCCACGGGCAGACAGTGAAATCTGTTTATCCAGAGTTGTTCTTTCTGTGCACACGGTAGGCCTTCCCACAGTAAACAGCTAGGTGCTGGGTGAAACTGACTTTTTGGTGCAGTTTTAGGTGCAGTTTTATTTCTGTAAATTACAGAAATAATTACAGATAGTGCCTTTAAACTTTCCTCCCACCCCCAAAAAAGTTATAGTGAGCTGAGATTAGAGTAGAAAGCAGTGAACAAAAGCAGCACTAAAGGAGACATTGCCCTGCATGCAGAGATACTCACACTACAGCCAGAGAACAGTCCTCAGCCAGCAGCACCATCAGGAGCTAAATCTGCCACTCCTCGGTTCAGCTGGGCTGATGACCTCAAGCGGCTTTGGTCAGTAGCACCACCAGGCGCCTTGTGGGAAAGACTCAGATTTTCTCTGTGGAGTAGTGGATCTCACCAGTGCCTGTCAGACTCATGTGGAAGGCTTGTTAAGTACAGATTGCTGGGCCTCACCCTCAGAGTTTCTCAGTGGGTCTAAGGTCAGGGCTCTAGAGTCTGCATTTCCAATGAATTCCCAGATCATGCTGAGTGTGCCAATCCAAGAGTCACACTTTGAAAACCATGGCTTTAGGGGACAGAATGAAACAGAAATGAGCTCACAGGTAAAGAAGTCAGATCTCACCCTTGAACACCCACACTCCTTTCTGTGTACTTCTTTGATCCTGCTTAATCTGCGTATGCCTTTTAAAAAAGGAGAGGGGAGAGAAAAAGGAGAAGAGGAAAAGGGGAAGAGGAAGAAGGAGAAGGAAGAAGAAGTCAGACGCACAAGAAAATAAGCCACCATGGGTGACAGGGGAAGTCAGGAAATCAATTACCGGTTCCAATAAACATGGGATATCTGCTATACACTAAGACATGAGCCAGGCCCTGATGAATGAAGATACAATCCCTGCCCTCAAGAACATTCAGCCATATGTGCAGACTAAAAATGTAGTAAAGTAGGTGCCACTTTTAAATTTCACATCAAAAATCCATGGTAACACAAAGGACGGAGTGGTCAGCTCTTTCTGGGACTCCAGGAAAGGCTTCTTGTAAGAAGTGACCTAATGCAGTTAGGACAAAATCCAGACTCCTCCCGAAATCCACCAGGCCTTGTATAAACAGTTGCTGCCTGTCTTGCCCAGCCTTATCTCAAGCCTCTCTTGTACTCACTCTGCATTGCTCACATGGGATTTCTTTCAGTTTCAGAAAAACTCTGAACAATATGTTAGTCATTAGCTCCATGTGGCTTTTGAAAACTTGAAATGTAGCTAGTCCAAATTAAGTTATGCTACACATGTAATATACACCAAATTGTGATGACTTAAAACAGAAAAGAATGTAAACCATCAGATTAATAATGCTTTTATATTATATATTGGTAATATTTTAGGTACATTAGACAATTTAAATTAATAATTAAATTAATTTCACCTGTTTCTTTTTACTAGAAATTGTTAAATTATGCATAGGATTCACCCCCTGCATTTTAGTTAAAGAGCAATGCTCTAAACTACACAACTCGGGGTCTTTGCACTTGCTCTTTCCTGGGCTTGCTATGTTCTTCCTTTGCTCTTTCTTTGGCAGACTTTCCAGTTCCTTAGATACCAGGTTAAAGATCACCTCCTCGGGGACATTCTTTGAACACCCTACCCAAGTAGGTCTCTGCTATTTTTCTCTAGCTTAGTACTGTGTATCCTTACTGAGCACATATCATATAGTTGGCTTAAATATTGTCTGCCTCGTCCACTAGAGTCTGCGGACCAGGCTGTGAGCTCGAGGCAGGCTGAGACCATACCAGTCATGGTCTCCATACTCCCAAATACCAAGTATGAACTCAGGACAGACTGAGTGTGTTGTGCTACAGCCGAAGGTGCTGGGCTTGCTCATGGCTTCCTTCCCTGACCAGGCTGTGGAGCGGCTAATCCACCCCCAGCTCTGTGAGCTGTGTATAGAGACACTAGAGCGGTATGTGGTCGAGGCCATCAACTCCAGCCCCTCACGGGGTGGTGAAGAGGCCTTACATGCCTTCCTGCTTGTGCACTCCAAGCTGCTGGCCTTCTACTCCAGGTGAGCCAAGCCCCAGCCCCGACCTGCGCCCTTCTTACTCTCTTTGCCTGAAAATCATGGCCTTTTGGCCCAGGAACCCCTACAATTTCCATGCAGCTCCCCAAGACTCTACTTCTACCCTCCCAGCCCCAGCCCCTCGCATCTCTGAGGCACTTCTTCCTGGAGCACTTTGTATACTCACCAAGGAGATCCATCTTTATGCTCTTACTGGTCTCTGGGGCTTCCCCATTGTTTTTTTTCCCACAACCGAATTTCATTCTAAAAACTGATGAGTTAATTTTGTTTATACCCATCTCCAGGAAGAATTAAGTTAGGCAGCCCGTGGGCACACTCGTTGGAGCAGTGCTGGGCTCCAAGCTGTGCTGACAGTTGCCCTGCTCTATCTCCACAGCCACACTGCAAGCTCCCTGCGCCCAGCCGACCTCCTTGCTCTCATCCTCCTGGTTCAGGACCTCCACCCCAGCGAGCATACGGTGGAGGAGGATGGTGATGCTCAGGTGTCAGGGCAGCGGGAGGCTACCAGGGAGATGGCTCAGAAAGCCTGCTTGGAGAGTGGTGGGCGGGCCCGGGGGCTGTGCTTGCCATGGCACCATCTGGGCAAGTGGGTGGGTATGGGGTTTTCCAGTGGAAAGGGAATTCTGAAAGACCAATAGTCTAGTGGGTTTAAAGGTGAAGATTTATAGAATTGGTCTTAGTTTGAAACCCAACGTCTCCCCTCAGCCTGTGAGCTAAGATTCCTTTATTTTGCAGTGTGAACAGTGGTGGTGTTGCCCTTGCAGGGTGTTATAAGGGATAAAAGAGACAAGGCACATAATACCGCAGCAGTGCCTGGGCAGAGCGAAGGCTCATTGTTAGCCAACATCTGGACATTGTTGTCATCAGTGGCAGGGAGGTGCTGCTTTGAAATGTGTTGGAGTTTCTCGCATTTTGGTGGTTCTGGAGAAAGAATAGACTGCCTAGAACTGACACCTCCCTGTAAACTCAGGACTGTACACCTTGGGCAGCACGTGGAAAAGGCTGGAGGGTCAAAGGGCTTCTCTGTGAAGTGCTGGGAGGCAGAGGACTGGTGGAGAGAAGCCAGATCAGATGTGCACTAACCAGTGTCTCCACCGTTCTCAAAGCCTTCCCCACAGAGAAGACCCTGGAGCAGCCAGAATATCCCTATGCAGCAGCCCCGGAACCCACGCACCTCAGACCAAACCAAGGACAGCCCTTCAGGGACGGTGTGTGCCACACCCCGAGCGAAGGACAGGGTGGAACTACCTCACTGAATGACTGGCCTCTCCCAGGAAAGCAGGGGCTGAGCCACCTGAGAGTCTCACCTGGCCCTTGGCCCTTCGTCTGAGCTGGCACTTCCCTCCCAGCAGGACACAGACAGCTTCTCCCTCCCTGAGGAGTACTTCACACCAGCTCCTTCCCCTGGGGAGCAGAGCTCAGGTGAGGCCTGCAGACAGCAGTGGTGGCAGCATGGGGAGGACGTCAGTGTGTAGCTGAGGAAACTTGTCTTACTGCTCAGTGGGTCCCCAGATGCCTCGTAAGGATCAAGCAGGGTGCTTGTTGTAGTCAGGGTTTTGGAAAGGAAAATACATTTAATACTGGACATATAATTTATAAGATTATTTTTGATATTTTCCCAAAAAGTCAAATACAAAGGAGTACAAAAGATTAACCGTACACTAGAGGCCCAAACAAGCCAGCCAAGGGCCTGGATCCCACGGCAGTGTCCCACACAAGTCCAGATAAAGGCTTAGAGTCAATTGTCCTCCGTTAGTCCAGCCAGTGGCCTAGAGCCCATGACAACGTCTCATGCTTGTCCATGTCCGGGTGCAGATCTGCACCTGGAAGGCCCAAAGGCCAATGGGAGAAGCCAAAAAACCTTCGCTGGTGGAATGAAGAATTTGCCACCAGGCTGAGGGATCTACATTGGAACCAGGAAGTGATGCTCAGGGAGAAGATTAGAGCTCCCTTGATGAGAATAGCAGCCATTCCCAGCAGCAGGAAGGCCCTGCGCTCCTCTAGTGAAAACAGCCAAGTTCACATCAGCCATCCACAGCAAGCTTCTCCTAGAAAATCAGCAGCCCACGATCTTCCCCAGTTTTCTTTCTATGGCTTATTGGCAGCAGTCCTCAGGTGGATCTTCCATGCCCAGACCACACTGATTCAGTTCACCTGGGCGTTACAAGTTGACCATTGATCCACCACAGTGCTCAGACTCCTGTAACAGCACAAGATGTTCTGTGGCCCCCTATCTTCTCTGCCAGCCCCAGCATGAATGCAAGGAATCCTAAGACTACTTACATGATCCATAAAACTTTCAATGACAAGTTGATTTCTTTTAAAATTTCATCTATATGTATATTTTCAACCTCATTCTTTTTTATAGCTAATTAAGTAAAATTAATCATTTGATTTCAAGTACATTTTAAAATATATTCAACCTCTAGTTTACCTTAACCTGTTTTTCCATAGTATGTGGATAAACAATAACAATGAACTATTAATATTCACAATGTTATGAACTAAAAAATATACCAAGTTGCTTAGAGAAGATAAGTCAAAGTCCAGATTGTCATCATCTCCGTGAGCATTACATAGATGTCTCTGAAGTTTTTAGGACAAAGGAGAGGATGCTGTTGGTTCACACTATCAGAAGAAAGGAGGCCAAAGTTGCAGAAGGAGAAATTTATCGGGGACAGTTTTGAAAGGAGTTTATCAAGTGGCTTCCTTAAAAAGTGGCCTCAGCCCAGACCCTCCTAGGGCACTCAGCTGGGGCCCAGCTGTGTCCTGTGCGCCTGGAGTTCAATTCAACCCACTGCTGTGCAGAGTCCTTGCCCCAGGTGCATCTGTACCCAACCTGGAGATCTTTAAAATCTTAGAACTGAGCCTGTGCCCCACGATTCTATTAATTGTTCAGGATTGTGGCCAGGGCCACAAGATTTTAAAAATCCCCCTAAATCTTTGTATTAAGCCAAGTTTGAACGCCATGAGGTTAAATGTTCTTAACTTTAGCTTCATGCGGCCTGGGAGCTTGTGACTGTGTGCCAGCTCATGTCTTTGTACCTTTACTGGGGTGAAGGATGGTGGCCATCTGCAGATTCTCTAGTTCTCCCTGAGTTCAGGTACACGGAGCAGCACAGCTTATAGATAATTTTTGTGGTTCCTTCTTGCCACCTCCTTCCCTCATGCATAAAAACCCTCCTCCTTGCTTTCACTCTTTGGTGTTTAGATTTTTATTTCCCAGAGCTTTAAATAGTGTTCCTCTCTGCACAGAACTCACAATTTAGAAATGGCTTCTTAAGTTGCACTCATCCTTTTTTTTTTTTTTTTTTTTTTTTTTTTTTT